TTTACTACAAAATGTCTAGTTGAGTTATAGGACTAGAGGAATATTTGCCACTATGAAGCAAATGAATGAATCCTCCCATGGAGTGGCATTCAAGGGTCACTGCATGAGTGGGCAGCGAAGTTGAGCAGGGTTTTCTCCTCCCTCAGGAGAGAGGGCATTACGGAAACACACAGCATCGATTCTCTTGACTGATGAAAGGCTAATGTATTTGCCAATTTACAAGATGGGTTTGATGATATGGACTTGGACTCTCCATTCTTGCTTCACAAGCCTTCACCAGGAGGACGGTAGTGTCATGAGGAGGGGCTAGAAAGGTACCAGGATGGGGTGAGTGCCCACCTCTTAAAAGCCCAGGTGATGAGGCCTCCTCTTCCAGTGAGTCTTCAGAACACTCATTCCAGAGTGGGACATCATTGTACCCATTGCCTCACAGAGCCTTTGCCAAGCATGATCCTCTGTAGGGTGATATGTATTTCCTAGCTACCTTCAAATACAAACTCCATGCCCTTGTGCGTAAACCTCTAAACCTTTCTTCTCCAGCATGTCCCCTCTGAAATTGGAACCGCCTCCCTCCAGCTATAAGGACCACCTCAAAAATGAAAACTCCAAACCCAGAATTCCCCAGTGACACAGACACCCAGGATGGTTTAGGTGTGTCTAAGAGGGCTTCCATGATACATAGTTGGTGACCCGATGGATAGGCAGGCCCTTAACCTTTAGTATGAGAGCATCTCTGGTTCGTGGAGCCCTTTGGGCTCCCCTAGGCTCTAGTGAAGAGTCTGTTGTCTGTCTGGGGCATTCGAGGACATTGCCATAGGGCTAAATTAATGCGGTGTGCAGCTCAGTTGAGGGGGAGGAAGGAATGCAAAGGAGGGGCATGAAAGCTCTAGAATGTAAGAACTGGATAAAACTTCAGAGATCATCTAGTCAAAGCCCCTCGTTTTGCAGATGGGGAAACTGAGGCACTGAGTGAGAACATAACTTGCCCTCACAGCAAGATGAAGACAAAGCCAGGGCTAGAAGCCATGGTTCCAGAGTCTCAGCCCTGTGCTTATTTCTTTTAGAGTACGGTGCCTTCCTAAATCACATACAGGCCCAGGAAGACATATCTTTCATATTGAATCTGTCATGAAACTGCTGCATTTATAAAAAATAACTTTTGAACCCTGAAAAATACTTCATTAAAACACAATGAGCTTCCTTGAAAATATGCCAGAGCAAAGTTTCCCAGATTCACAGAGGATGACAGAGGAATGTTATGTGGAAGGTAACATGCGCTCCTTCTAGGGTCTGGGTGATGGGCAGCCCTTTCGTGTTCCCTTGGGTTGAGTCCACAGTTACCTGTGGAAGGAATCTGAGGGTGGGAGGCTGGTGGCAGACAAGGTATCTGAAGAAAATGGATTGAGTTTAGTGGCAGAGATGTTGGTATAGATAGTCCTCCATGCTTGGAGAGTCATGAGGCCCCCCAGTATTTTGGGACAAAAGGGGATATGTGTTGCATACAAACAGGAAGAGGGTATAAGAACTAGAACAGTGGCTGAGAGCCCCCAAGGATGTAAGTCTTTGGCCAGAGCAGAAGCCCCTAGACTGATAGCAGGTTGGATCAGGAGCTTCAGAGTTCTTGCCAGTTATAGGAACAGAAGCTGATCTTCTGGCCATGACACCTCTGACCTGGCAGCTCCTCTTCCTTTACTCCCAAAGATCATGGGGGCAGACCCCTGGGGCATCATCTCAGGTGCATGAGATGTAGGATAAGCCATGAGGTGAGCCAAAAACCTGAAGAACAGTTGATTCTTCTGTTGCTTTCACCAAGAGTTCTGGTTTGTAGAACTAGAGACTGTAGCAAGATCAGGGATGAGAAATTAGGAATGGGGAAGGTAAGTGAAGAAGGAGGGAGATCAGAGGAAGGAAAGAGTGGACTAGCATAGGAAACTGACATTGAGACAGGAATTTCTGGGAGTGAGAGTGGAAAGAGGTGAGGAAAAGTTTGAATGGGGGCCTTTCTAAGGGCAGACCCATCACAAAACAGTCCCCAAGACAGTCGGGAGTCCTGGAGGCAAATTTCAGTCAAGGGGGTGACTTATAAATGCATGGAGCCAGGAGTTACTTGGGGGAAGCAAGACAAAACAGGCGGAAGGGCATGAGACTGTTGTCAAAGCCAAGGAGGCCAGGAAGAACTTTCAGAGCTGGAGAGCATCTGCAAAGACCCTGGTCCATTCTTATCAGAGTGATGGAGACATGCAAAAATGTACAAAGTGAGACCAGGGAAATCATGGGCTTGAGGCTTCTCTTGCTAGGACAAGGAGCATCTTATTATGGGGAAGATGGCCCTTCTCTGGTAGAGGGCACCCCATCTGGTTGGGCTGGAAGCCATGACATCTAGATTCCAGCCCCGGAATTCTCATCTCTATGTGGGCTTTGTTCTATAAAGATGGACGGGGTAACTGAATGAATGGGTCCACTCTGGGTCCCACTTAAAACCCAGTTTTCTGTATTTTGAAGTGGAGTAAGTTTGTAGACCTTTTTCTCTTTTTCTTTTCCTTCTTGTTCTCCTTCAATGTTCCATCCCCCCTTCTTCCCTTCTGACCCAAGGATGAACCAAAGAAATGCTTTAGAAGAAGTAAGCATTCAAGTAGAATTTCCTGATCCAACTGTCACCAGAGGTTTTAAACCAGACAGTGGTAAGGCTGGGATGAGAAATGTTTTGGAATCAACCTATCGAACAACCCCTGAGACAGACAGACACCTTGTTGTAGAAGGGGCTGGGGCGGGGGTGGGGGGGAGCCCTAGGGAAACCTGGCACCCCGAGGGCTGGAGAACATGGCACCCAGGAGATACGTTGATGTGAGATGAGATCAGGTTTCGGTTTGGAGAGAGAGTGTGTGTGTGCACGTGTGTGTAGACCCCTGGGGAAGGGATTCTCAACCTCTAATGTCCTTTCCCCTCCTCACCAGCAGGTGACCTGCAAGGGGACTGGCGAAGGATTAGAGGATTGAAGGAGTGCTGAGCTTAGGAGCCCATGATAAGACACTCCTCTTCATTTCTGAAAGTGGCCATCTGCTCTGTTTAGGCTAATTTCCTCCTTTCCATCCCTCTTAGCCTCACATTCTGAAACAAACTCTCATAAACCCATGGGGACCAGCCCTGAAGAAGGTTTATGTGTTTGTGGGAGGAAAGCGAAGAGCTCATCCCAGCCTCACAGCTGTTCATTTTGGGGACACCACCCCAGTGGGGAAACTGAGGGCTGGGTTCCTATACCCCCGCCTTCATCCCCTCATGATTCACACGATGGTTTCCTGTTCACATCGGGAGGCAAGCCTTGGGGAGGGAAGAAGGTGATGAAAGCTTTGGAATTCTTGAAATAAGTAAGAAGTAGTCCATTGATTTCTGTGTGGTTTTTGGATTGGCTAGATTTAACATTCCCAGGGCTGAGACTGAGGTGTGCTCCCTATCTCTGACCTTTTCCAAGGGCCATTCATGCAGAACTGAGGAAAGGTGTACAATTCCGCTGAAGGGCATCGTCTGACTGTGGAAATGGTCATGTTTTTACTGACACAGCTTCACCCGATAGCCTACAGCTGATTCCCCTAGCCCCAGCTCAGGGAGGTGCCCTTGCCCTGAGAATGGGGGAGACCTCCCACCAGCCTCTGGTCTTGGGGTAGTGGGTCTCTGCTCAGTTCCCTGTCAGCTCCCCAGGAGGCTGTCCCACCATGCCCACCACTCAGGTTGGAGGAGGAGGGGCTGAGGCGGGCTGGCAGTGGCAGCCTCTCACCGAGCTGAGGGTTTGGATCTGCCTCATGCATAGTGCCCCTGAGGGAGGGACTGAGGCAGTGGGGAGCTGCCCACTTAGCCCCTAGACCAGAAGCCCAGACCGCCATTATTTGCTTTTGCTAATAGGTCTTTGTCCCTTTGATCTAGAGGAGGCAAGAGGCTTAAGTAGCAGCGGCCAGGAGAGAACAACAGAGCTGCAGGAAAATGGGAGAGGAGAGTTGGGCAGATAGGAAATTCTAAACAGAGGAGGGCCTAGTCGGGGCAGAGATGGGGGGAGGAGCCGGCAGGGTGCAGGGCAACCATAGGTCCTCCTTGGTTGGGGTCAAGCAGCCCATCTCTGGAAATCTCTGCCTCAGTCCTGCCCGAGGTACATGGGGATGTAGGGCAGAGCCCTGGACAATGGGAATGGCGAGCCCCTGAGACCTCAGGCGTCATAGTGGCCCTCCCAACTCTGGCCCTCTGGCCTCCACACACACCTCCAGGGAGCAAAGCCGAAGTGGAGAAGGCAGGCCTGAGCGGTGGTCATAGCTCAGACCTAGAGGCCTGGACGGTGTGGAGTTAATCAGGAGGCTACCAGGGCACTCAGTAAATCCTCGCACCCCATTGCTACTCCCTAGGAGGGCTAAAGAAAAAGCCCCAGAGAACTCAAGGGAGAAATATCTAGGGCTAGGGGAAGTGTCAAGCCCCATCATCCCCACCCCAGAGGACAGACAGGTTGAGGCGCCTGTGGATGGGCAGCCAGCTGGACTAGGCAGGGTTCCCAACAGTGGGGAGGCAGCTGAAGGAAGGGAACCCTGCTCTGTCCTAGAGTTGAGGGGAGGGCAGAAGGCCAGGGTGGGGCCCACAGGGGTCAGTGAAGACAGGGCCACTCACTGGGGGCCAGAGAGTTCCAGCAGGCAGAAAGATCATTATTGTGCTTATGGACACAGCAGCTCCATGGCTCCAAGAGCGCGAGCAGGCAGTTTTTAGGCACTAGAAGATTTCTGTGATGCGGTTCTAGGTCCGTGAATGAGACGTCAGCCACTGACTGCACCCGCTGGCAATTCCAACCCAGGCAGCTTCCGGCCAGGGTCAGGCGAGGGTCTCTTGGCTGACAGAACCTGCAGCTGAGTCCCCAGGAGAAGGGAAAG